AACCATACACTAATACCTTGTTCAGTCTTCAAACTTGTGGAAGTGTTGAGTCTGGAGTTAGCAACGACGTAACTTATAACATGTACTAACAAGGCGAATTTTTAACTTTACAGTTTGTTTGTTTCGGATATTCGTGCAAAGCTAAAACAAGGGCTATTTGCACTAATCGTCGCTAATAGGCATATAATCATCAACATACACACCGCCAACACTGGAGTTACTATAATCAAATATTGGGATTTGACCATCATTCCTATAACGTACCCCCCACCCCCCAAAAAAAAACGGGGAGTGATCTTGGTTTTGCGGCAACAGGACTCGAATCATAGACCCTCAGGTTCACAATCCAGCACTAACCATTAGACCAATCATCAAGAGATAATTGACTCAAAATTATATAATTAGTTCGTGTATAAACTAATATCTGTAATCTAAGAAACATACTCCAAGAAAGCTTCCATGGAATAAACAATATTTCATTATTTGCTTCAAAATTTTAATAAGACATTAGAAATGTCACAACACAGCTTGTTTTATTCCTGATTTAAAGTGGCCTAGTGGCTAACGTCCGTGCCTGGCTGAGAATCAAAAAGTCCAATGTTCGAGCAATAATATGCTACTAAATATTCTCGGCACTTTCAGTTGTTATAAATGTAACAGTCAACCACATTGTTTGCAGTAGCCACATAGGCAGCCTGTACTGCCCTACTTTCTTGTCAGTATTTATAAATTATGGATGCCAATGTTATAACCTTGGAGTCTCTGATATGGCCGCTTAGTACACACATGTCGCTTGAGGTGCCATTTAGGTACAAAATACCGATACCTAGATTTTGAGCAGAAATGTGAAATAAAACAAATTCTAGAGCCTTTGTATGTAAAGTTAAAAGAAGATAAATATTTCGTGCAAATGGAAATTATCACATCAAAAAAAAAAAAAAGCTACCAATACGTTGTCAGCCATCACAAACCTTAGATACAATGTTATTTTTTTTAAAGTTCTTGAAAAACTTTACGCCATTTCCTCTTTGATTTATAAGTTCTGGGAAGAACTAAATCTTTGGTTGAAATATAAGGTAGATACAAATATCTTTAAACCCACTGCTATAATTAATCCAGTTCTGCTTACAGCAAAATTCTGTTCATTATTGACCAGGTTATAGTGGATAACCATTCTTGATGAATACGTGCTCACGAGTTGAGAAGTATAAATAACAGGGGAAATATAGCGCTTAAAATAATTCAAAATTATATAAAGTAAAAACAGGAGGGAAAAGAAGATATCATTTGGATATTGTTATGTTTTTTGTAATTGTCCTTCATTTTTCTTTAAGGATGGTAAAAAAGGTTTTTTGGGGGGCGGGGGGTCTATGCCTTCTCTTTTTAAATGTGAGCTGTTTTGTAGTATGTTTTGTGTTTAAAAATGTTTAAAAAATATGTAGTTTGAGTAATATATGTTTAAAATAGTTCAAGCTGTTTTATAGAAGAAGGAAACAGGAGTTTTTATAGCTAACAGGTAAAAATATTCCCGTGCAATGTGCAATCGAAGAAATTATTTTACACCTTAGCTAACATAAAACTGTAATAGTTTCTGAAGCCATATGTAATAATAAGTTAAACTAAAAAAATACTCTGCTAACAACGACTCCATTATGCCCCTCTCTAAACGTTTTTTGTTGTAGATTATTTCATACAAAACACAAAGAACCATGATGCTGGCCGTCTAAAATAAATTATTTAATAACCAGCAAAAATACGGCTGTTGCTTTGCACACACACGAAAAAAAGTCGTAACACCTAAACATATTAAGCATGCGATTCACCTGCAGCAAACTTGGCGCTCTTTCTCTCTCTATTTAACGACATTTCTCAGGTGTGACGCGGGAACGTCTTCCGCGCCATGCCATGCGTGAAGCCTACGCACTTATAGGTGTTCTTCCTGGCTGTGGCGATCCATCACCACGGGGCTGATCCTTCACATAGTCGCTTCTATCGTCAAGGAACGCTCGGATATGCTTCTGAAGCATTGGAGGATGCCCAAGCGTTAAGTTCAATGTAATTCATGTTCAGTTTGTATATCTTTATCCACGTCTGATAAAAGTTTGCTTAATGAACAGATGACTATGGTTTACTGATATACTGCTTTTTGTCACGTGAAAATATAATCAAGTCAATCGTATAGCGCATTTTGTAAAATGTGTAAATTGCCTTTCATTTCGTGAAAATATAATCAAGTCAATCGTATAGCACATTTTGTAAAATGTATAAATTGCCTTTCATTACGTGAAAAATATAATCAAGTCAATCGTATAGCACATTTTGTAAAATGTGTAAACTGCTTTTCGTCACGTGAAAATATAATCAAGTCAATCGTATAGCACATTTTGTAAAATGTGTAAACGTAAACGGCTATCATTTACTCATTTACACATTTTACAAAATGTGCTATACGAAAACTTGATTTGTATTCGTGTAATCTAACGAGTAAAAATAACTTTTATATACTCAAAGCTTTAAACACAAGTAGACCTTATACGAGTAGCCTACGATGCAAACGTTTGTATAAATATTAATATAAGCGTAATCGTGTTTGTTTCTTTGTTAAGCGCAAAGCTACAGAACTGGGTGATCTGAAAAACAAAATAACTTTTGAATCCAAAATAAAGTTTTAGGAGTACGAAAAGAACAGAAAGTGAACAACGATCAAATAAAAGTATTTGAGGGATACTATCCTCATTATATATATATATATAAAACAATCTGGGTTATACAAACTAATAGCATACAACAAATGGTATACGTGCACCTAAATGTGTTAATTATGTAACAAGAGTATATAACAATCTGGGTTATACAAACTAATAGCATACAACAAATGGTATACGTGCACCTAAATGTGTTAATTATGTAACAAGGGTTTATTTTCATTGGTCAGATTTCAGACTTTGGCGTTTCTACACATTACTTCTATATTTTGTAAGTGAACACGACTGTTACCTATATATTTAGTTATTATATGGTTAACATGATTGCTATTTCGCCTGCTTGGCAATCTTGATATTTTGTACTCCATGTAGTGTTGCTCTTGGTGTGAGGGTTAAAATGTGCTTTTTCTAAAAACCTATATACAGTATATAGTTAGGAATGTACGGAATTGTATTAAAACTCGTTCAGCAAGGTATATTAGAATATGTATGTATCTTTCCTGTCATTTATATTAAAGAAACAAACGTTATATTTGTAATAACCACGTTACAATCGTTCACAGTCGCTTTAAATGGCGTTTTGTATGTAAGGACATTTTAAATAATATTTGTTTTTTTACGAAAATGATAAAACTAAAGATAATGCCCGAAGAACGTGGATATTACCACACCGGTTAAAAATGTGAATATATATTTTCAATGAGTAAATTTTTAAAAGATTCAACACGTGCTAGTTTATATATATATATACACACATATAGTCTGTAATTGTTGCTGTTTCATTTATATAAATGATAATAAATTACACATATGCAACAGTTATTTTCACATATTATTATTATTAGTGAATCATTTCAGATCCTGTTTTCAAAACATTGAGCACTTATTTTGTTCTTTGAATAATAAACTCGAGTAAAAATAAAACAGGAGATCAAAATCAGGTGTTTCCCTACTAAAAAGTTATAAACAAGGAACTTTACCCAATGTTTTTCAATCATAAGCAAAATATGTTTTGTTTCTACTAAATTAACCTGAGTAAGGAACATATAATAATAGGCAGGCGAATAACAATTTATAAGCATAAGGAAAAGTTTATTGATGGTTGAACATACTACATGTTTAGACAGATCATATCTCAATAAGACAGACCAATGTTCTGTCGAAACATGTAACATGTTTCACCCTCTATAAACTTTTCCTTATGCTTATAAATCGTTGTTCGCTTACCTATTATCTATCATAACTTAAGTTCATAACACTAGTGAAAAATAAAAGCAGAATCACAAGTAACATGTGGAGGGCATTCAAAATGAAATAAAATTGCAAACGTGATGAAAGTTGGAAATAGAAAAAAAAAATGTAAATGAAAGATTCATAAGAAATCATAGTTCAAGTAAAACAATGGCAAATACAATAATGAAAAGAGAAGGGTTAAGCAATTCATCAGAGAAGGATAAAGTTTTATTCAATAACTGTCGGTTCTTTTGCCTGAACAAGGGCAATTGCCCGAAACGTTAATGAATGAAACCGTTTCTTTCTCAGGTTATTTGGTTAACCTAGCTGTTTTCGTTATTTAAGTTTGTCAACCACCGGAATTCTCTTTAAAGACAGAATAAATCTTTAATCGAGGCAATAACAAAGGTGTATACAACAAGTTCAAGTTAGACCCACGACGATGGTTGCTGTTAACTTATCTCACCATAAAAACTGGTTGTTTAAAAAAAAAACGTTTCAATATAGCACTCTTTAGAGCTATTATACATAAACCCAATAACGCTGTATGTAAGTGAGTATGTTATGTAGAATAGCTTAAAAATTAAGAGGTCGAAGCATATGGAATACAGAACCGTCAAATATATTTCCTTTCTCTTCATGTTTTTAACATCTGATACATTACAGAAAATCATAAAATATGTCTCTTCTCCTTCACACCTTTTGCTTAGAAGAATCCCGTTTATAAAACAATTATATGGAGAACTAGCCTATGTATTGTAAACGCTTGTTTGTTTGTTGTTAACTCCAAAACTACACAATGGGCTATCTTTAGGTTCACCACGGGTATCGAAACCCGTTGTTTAGCATTGTAACTCTTTAGACTTGCCGCTGAGCGATTGGGGGTAGAGTGGAGGGGCACTATAAACGCAAATTTCAAGATTGTATGTAGTGTGAGTATTTGTCGCTTGGAAATTACGAGAAAAAAAAAACACTCCTATTAAACACTTTGATGTTCGATAAGTTAATTGACTAATGATTATCCATTATGTTACATACTGAATTACTGCTAAAACGCCTTACCTTTCCTTGTTCTTTTTCAAAATTGCAACCTTCGCTGTACCCGTTGTTACAGGGGCTAAAAACAAGCTGAAGGTTTGTTCCTGTTGTCGTGAAGGCCTAAAGATAAAGAATAACCAAAAGTCACAAACATATCAGCAAAATTAGACTTTAAATTGTGGTGAAGGAAGCAGAAAATTATGGTAGAAATAAATACCTATGCTTATTGTCTGGTTGGCATGCAACCAGCTCAAATAGTCACAAAAACTATTCACATGCCTGTCTCCCTCAAATAAACAACTGCTACATAATCATATAGTTTTAAAGGCATGTATTGTCGTTGTTTTGTTTACACAGAAACTTAGGGTAAAACCAGATGTGTTTAAGTGTTGTTTTATATGAATCATTTTGGGTTCTTCTCATCAGATGACCTACAGGTAGGAACTAGACTAGTATTGTATAATAGAATGTGTATCTCAGGTGTAAAACTTTCCTCTCAAATAAACTTAAAGTCGGATTTTAGTTTCCATGATTGGTGGTCGCGGCTTTCACTAGAAACCCGCAATGTGTGGTTTATCCATTAGGCAAAGTGTTGGATCTAACAAGTTATAACGTATTATTTATCTCAACTGAACAAACAGGTAATGCTTTCTTCAACGTTTACCTGAATATTTAACTCCATATACTTGATAACCATCTTAACTGTTGAACACTTATATGCCTTTTAACCATAAACCTAATGTGCATGGATAAAATATACCCTCGTAACACAAGTAACACAATCCATTCAGATTGATAATTACAGTTTAACTCCTGAAGCTGGTATTTCAACACATTACTGGTCACGTAGTTACACGAACCTAAGCTGTCCACTTACTATTAGCGGTATGAAAAAATTGAATTATTTCATCTAAATATAAACAAAAGTATCAATAAAAATCCCATCTAACAATACGGGGTTAAAGTGCATGATTAGTTGGACAAATGTAATTGAATATTCAAGTATTCTACTTAAAACACATGTGCTAGTTTTCAAAGATAACCTAGACACGGAGGTCAATATTGTACTTAACAGACATATGCTAGTTTTCAAAGATAACCTTGACACGGAGGTCAATATTGTACTTAACAGACATATGCTAGTTTTCAAAGATAACCTTGACACAGAGGTCAATATTGTACTTAGCATACATGTGCTAGTTTCAAAGATAACCTTGACACATAGATCAAGTATTGTACTTAACATAAATGTGCTACTTTCAAAGATAACCTTGACACATAGATCAAGTATTGTACTTAACATAAATGTGCTAATTTCAAAGATAACCTTGACACATAGATCAAGTATTGTACTTAACACACATGTATTACTTTCAAAGATAACCTTGACACATAGATCAAGTATTGTACTTAACATACATGTATTACTTTCAAAGATAACCTTGACACATAGATC